CGCAGCGCCTTAGACCACTCGGCCAGAATGACATGGCAAAAGTGTACCGTCTTATAGAGCTTGAAAAGCTGGTTCCAAGTTCGTTTTTGATATCTGCAAAGCGCGCTTCTGAGGGTGGAGTTATGGAAATTCTTTTACGCAAAAATTTGAACAAGCGGCTACAACCAACTCATTCAGAATTGTAGACAGTCACCTCAAATGGGGAATGTGTTACTTTTAGGGCTCTTCATGCTTCATGCGATTGATTCGTTTAGTCTTATAAACTTATGCTAGCCATTACTGCTTTCAAGAGCCAAAATGCCTCAACCCATTGTTTTACCCTGATACACCACTGATTTCTTACTTCAAAAAATTCTCATAACTCTTTTCCCATAAGCGCTTGCAGATAGCGAAGGCAGATTTGAAATCAGCTCCTCATGCTCTATAAGGCAGTGCACATTTCATATAGAAATGCCACTTCGACCAAGCATCCTCCCCTTGTTAGTTTTCTTTCAGTTGACCGGTCTGTCTACAGCGATTGCTTTATTTCGTTGGTGATTCTGAACTGACTCCAACATCCCATGCTTCTTGCTTCATTTATATAAGTTACCAGTATGGTTGATGACGCCCTACTAAAAACTCTACTACCTCACTGGCAACAGTTTCATTGTTACTCCGTCCGTCACACTTACCACTATAGTATTTTTAATGAAAGCTACTCTGTTGATATTAGTTTGTTATCTTCTTTTCTATAACAGTTTGAAACCAGTCGGCCTATCCCAATGTGAGGAGATGATAGCAGGTGCAATCCGTATTTCTTTGACATTTAAGTATTGCTTTGATTCAGAAATTCTTCCGATTACGTTTTACATATGTTCTACAAGCATTCTTCTTTGTGTAACGTGTTTGCCTTTCAGAAATTCTCTCCTTCTCTCTGGGACTTGTCAGCTAGCCTCCGCCCGTAGGCTCGCTGTCTGCGAATAAAAAGGGAATCTTATTGCTAGAAGACAGCATGATCTCCTAGTTTAGATGGACTACACTGCTCAAAGACTGTCGACGTCAATAAAAAAAATTATCCTGTATCGTTATTACGCAGACTAGCGCCTCCATTGTGATCAGCTGATTCTCGCTGACTTTGATATCTGCTTGAGTTTAATGTCATCTGTGTTTGGCTATGCTTGCTAGCAGCACAATTCGTGTGTATCATAATAAGTAAATAAATAAATAAATAAATAAAAACACTGCTTAGTTTGTGCATTCTACCCGACAAGATACACACATTGTTCGTTATCTCATAGTTATCGCTCCACTGCCAAAACTTCAAAACGGTGGCATTAGGATCATGAGAGTTTTTGAGGATTGACGCGGTCAAAAATTCTTTCTCCTTCCTAAGGATCTGAATTGGCAAAACGTTGAGAAAGGTCTCCGAAATACGCTCTGGATTGACGTAGGTTCTTGTAATTACATGGGATTACTCATAATTGCCATTAGTTCGTAGGAGATCTTGCTAGCAGTCTGTGGTTATAAGGACATTTCTATCTGCAAAGGATGGTGAGCCTCTTTCAAAGTAGGAGAAGTCATTGTACTTTGCCATTGCAGGTTTCTTTTTGATTATTCTGAGGTGCCTGGAGAGTATCAGATTCTTTACGTAAACCAGAGGAGGCACTTATACATAAAGACTACATCAAGTACGCAGGTACGTTTTTATGAAGCGTTTTTTTTTGAGTTTTTTACTGCAAGGTAATGCTTGTTTTTGCGCTCAAAGAGCATTTGCTGTAGATTCATCAGTTGCTTGTGGCATATTTGTTCGGAAAGTTCGTTAATTTACTCCATTACTGCGTCGAAGGTAAATCCAGTGTGCGTAAGTAGTCCGAGGAGTGAAGTTGGTTCCACGAGCAATTCCCATTAGTGTAGAATCGTTCAAGTAACTTGTAGTAATTAACAACGACGTCAAACATTTTTTCGACTACGTTTTTCGCTTTTTTAGTGAGGGCAAAAAAGTCTGTGCGTAGATTTGAGAGTAGAATGGAACTCTGAGAAAAACTATAAAAGAAAATTGCCTGTTCGAAACATTCTGCTATGCTTCTGGAAATGCAAATTGTCGGCGTCACATCCCTGGGGTCATTGTTGGCTGTGGTTGCCTGTGTCACAATCTTACCTACTTTGTACAGCGAAATTAACGAATTGCATGGGCAGGTGAGAAGTACAGCAAAACTTGTCTTCTTATGCTTTTTTTCCAAGGTTATCGAAGCAGTCGCAGCTTTTCGAACAGACACGAACTTGGCATGGAGCGAAATAATGGATGTGCGATTACTTGTCTCTTCTTCATCCAAACCAGAAGAAAATCCATTTGACTCTATTTTCCGTCAAACAAGGCAATCAGGGTTACCACCTTGGTGCAAATGCGTACCTGATCCCATTGTTTGCCCTCCCGGTCTTCCTGGTCCACCAGGGCCGCCCGGTCAACAAGGTAAACTTTTATTGCACCGCTTTTTCACAAAAAATCCTGTTTAGGAACGCCCGGTCCACCAGGTCCTCCTGGTGAAGACGACGCGACCGTATATGCTCCTATCCACTGCCC